CATACTCCCCCTCTTCCTCAAGCGACATTTGGGGCAAGGAACGCATGGAAGAGCAAGCTGGCGGTGTTATTCTTGACGGCGCGAGGGAGGCGCCAGGAGATGTGGGATCAATGTGGCTCAACCTGCTCGTCGCTGGGATGGAGCACATCGCCGTCATGGTTCAAGCTGGGACACATCACAGTTGTGGTGGTGCTCACCTCCGTCGCCAGCCTTCATATGCGAGCACCGCTTGGATCAAGTAATGTGATGCATGTGGAGGCGTAGGCAATATCACTCGTCATTGGCATGAGGGTGTTGAGGTAGATGTCAACCTCGTCGTAGGTAGCAAAGGTCGAATCAGGTTAAAATAAGTTGTGTCGAAAATGGCCTTGTTAAAAGATGCCCCTCGTTGCCTAGAGTAACGATAACGCAAACTTATGTGTGGTCGTAATTGAAGGAGAATATGGTGAAGCATAAGAAGACCTCGGATCCGAATATAACCTCAGATTTAAAAGCCGATGTGGGAAGATGGAACTCACCTACAAAGCTGAAGACCAGAAAGATGAAGTTTTCCCAAGGGAGGATCCAAATCCCTCGGCTTGAAGACTAGTTCAGGGCTACTGATGGTGTCCTGGATTAGGGGTGCACACCACTTCAGCTCGCCATTCATGGGCCTCGCCGAGGACTCGCCAACAACTGAAAAATGGGACATGCAGGCCATGGCCCTCGGCGTACTCAAGATGGAATCCTTCGAAGATTTGGCGTACACTTCAAGGCATATTCAAATGATCGACATATTATCCGTAGTTATACCCAACATACTTGTAACCTTAGATACCCCAGGTGCCTATATAAGCCGAGGGGTTTAGTCTGTAGAGGCAAGGTTTTTAGACTAGAACACATTCATACGATCTCAGGGTAGATCATCATGTATTTTGTACCCCATCCACAATCAATACAATACAAGCAGGACGTAGGATTTTACCTCTTCGAGAGGGCCCGAACCTGGGTAAATATAGTGCCCCCTTTATTTCATGTTACCATCGTACCAAGATCACCAGCTCGGGACCCCCTACCCGAGATTCGTCGGTTTTAGCACCGACAGGAGGGAGGCGGGAGGGCAGAGGTTACTCTATTGGAGCTCGGATGGCGGCTCATTGGCGATGCCGAACGGCGACGAGGAGCTCCTCTCCTAATGGATGGGAACGGAGGGGTTTGCGTGGCTGTGGGCTACTCCTGGGCGCCAGATGGGTTTTGAGGGGCCTCCTCGGTCCAGGCG